ATAAATAAATTCAAATTCTCTATACAAGAATCATGTGCTAAAATTAGGATATTACTGTGACTATATCATTACATGAACATGTAACTATTACCACAGCCTACATGTACATGTACATGCTAGCAAATACATGTGTGCATGTACATGTACAAAACTTCAGAAATCAACTTATGTGACTAAAAATTCTATTGCTAATACCATACCCTCTACAAGTATTTGAAATTGCTTTTACTATCATTACTATAGTACATTGTCATAATCAGAAACAAGCTACAGATACATTTATACTAACTTAGTTCCTACTTTACCACTATCTACTACATGTACGTGCGATACATCCAAACAGGATTGGTAAGAAGACAAGCAAATTAAGCGTATACTCTCAGCCTGTGTTGTCCTCTCAGTTTAGAAATAGATTAAACATTATTGTCAGAACATAAGGTCCTGTTGACTGTTTTGACTTCCAATGGTAGCTGACAATATATAACAATGGGAGACAAGGGTCTGTCTTAGACAAATAGGCATTAGAATATAATCAAGCTATCAATTTGCTACAGAAGTGGGCCGAATCCTGTTTAAATAGGCTGAGCTGGCCCTGCTATACAAAACATGTTGGGCTGTTTGGCTCATAATTCACTTCAGCATAGTTTACATTATCAAATCAAACACTGCTGGCCCACTTTAAATGGTGTTGGCACTCTTAAAGACCAGTTTAATAATACCCATAGTTCTGCCTATGGTAGTCAGAGATGGTTGGGACAATCACCTCAACAAATGAACCAACCAGTTCATCACTTAGACCAACCATCCAATTAATACTAATAACCATACATAAAGCATGATATTGTAGTCTACTAGTATGGTGTACTTAAATTTAAAAGGAACAATATTAGTCTCCAACCACTTTTAATTTTTTCTAAGCAGAAGAACCCTAAATACTATATGGCATTATCATTATTATTAGACATGAGCCTAACAGTGTGAATCTTACTGTGTCCATGTCTTGGGTCACTGTGATCTTTGCTTTGCTCAACCTCTCCCTCAACTGATCGTAATAAGATTTAGGAATAGTCAGGAAATGATGGCCACGTGCTTTCATGTTAGATATCTGAGAAAGAGAGAGAGAGAGGATGAGTTTCCCACAAAGCATGCTAAGTGAGCTAAACAGCATGAGCTTCATGAGCTGACAAGCACTACAATACAGTACATGGCATTTGGAGCAACTTTAAAAATTCATAAAAAATCCAAATTTCATTGGAATCAGCTCAAAATTGATATATAGCATAAGAACATGTATATGAATCAGAAAAAATTATTAAAATGGAGAATTCTCTCCTAGCCATTTCTGGCAAAATTTGGCTTCAGGCCCAAGGCCTTTGGTCATTGGCCCGATTTTTGAACAACTTTAAAAAATTCATAAAAAATTCAAATTTGATTTGAATCAGCTTAAAGTTGATACATAGCATAAGAACATGTATATGTATCAGAAAAAATTATATAAATGGAGAATTCTCTCCTTCTGATTTTTCTCAAAATTCCTTATACTCTAGTACAGCACAAAACATTCATGCAGAGCAAAAAAATTTCACGTAGATCAGATCCTCACAAAATTTTAAGCTTGTGTGTTTTAATTAGTAAGTATAACAAAGACATAAATATAATCAAAACTTACAGCTCCAATGATATCTCTGGTATTTATAGCAATGTGTTGAACACCAGCAGTACCATAATAATCAACAAACTCCTATGAACAATAATAGACACATGATGGGCACATGATAGTCACATGACAGGCACTTGATGATCACATGATAGTCACATAATGGACACATGATAGTCACATGATGGGCACATGACAGTCACATGATGATCACATGATAGTCACATGATGGGCACATAATAGTCACATGATGGGCACATGCTTACCTGTATTTGGCTCTTCCTTTTCCCAGGTGCT